ATAATTTTTCAAAAATAATTTTGTATTTAAATATTAATTTGACTACTGCATCAGTCCCGCCAGTTTCTACGGTCGACATTACGCGTTCGGGCACGGTTCGTTAGTCTCTCAATTTTTTTCTATTTTTACATTAAAAAGTGGTGAATTGTGATATTAAATGCATCATTTCGAAAGAATAACGATCGATTCAGTGTGTGAGAATGTAATTTTCATCGTGCTTCACGTTTGTTTAGTGTAACCAGTGTTTCCTTTATCGCGTTTCATTCCGTGGCTTCGTAATCAGAGAAGCCATTACTTTCGAAATAATTTTTCAATAAAAATTAGATTATTCGTAGTGTAACGTTATTTTCCGTGTTGTGTATAGTTTCAAGTGTCGTGGTTTTTGTTAGTTACCGCTTGTTCCTGTGTAAAACATACTTGGATTAGCTGAAAAGTCACTTTACGTAACTACGGTCGCACGGAGCTTGAGTTGAGAATCTCTACATGGTACTACGACGCATCGGTGAGTGGAATATTTCCATAAATCTTAAATACTAACAAAACGGTTGCTTCCAACGATACGAAAACGTCGATATTATAGTTTAATCTTTTCCTACGACGATAATTTCGTTCCCTTACTTATCAATTAACGGTATTCCTAAAATTACGAATCTTAAAGAACTACTCAGCTTTCGATTTTGTAAAATACCGTAGTCGAACCTGCAGTTTGATCATCGAAACATATTCTTTTATATTTACGAAACGAATAAAAATCAAATAACCGCATAATAACGTAAAAAATAAGGGTAAGACAAGGATTACCATCGTTCCGTAATAATCCACGAACGAAATATCGCGACCATGATAACGCATATGTTTCGAATTAGGGAATTTAATTACATGTTCCACGTTCCAAATAGCACGATCCATCGGTTTCACCAGTTCATCTTTCACAATCTCTGACATAATCTTGATATTGTTATAATACCTGCAAAATACAACGCAACGTCGTATTCACAAAAAAAATATTCCGTTACCATTTCAACCGTTCGTTCGTAACTTTCAATCGGTCGCTGTTTTATCGATCGAGGCTCGATAACGAGTTGTTTCGAGAACGTTATGAATATAGAGAAACCGTGTCTGCGACAATTTACTCACGTTTTATTTTCTATAACGTCGGTGAGGGTTTGCACGATAGATTCCTCGGTGATGGTATCGATGTTCAATGTAAGTCCGATACCGGCGTCCAGGATTTTACGTGCGTTGAAAAGTTGATCCCCGAAAAAGGGAATGGCGACTACAGGCACAGAATAGTGCACCGCCTCCTGCAACGACTGCAATCCACCCTGCATCACGTAGGCCATCACTTTCGGATGTGCTGCACATAAAAGTAACGTTAGCATCCGCGGATCGGGTGGAGGTAAAGCAGCGCCCTTATGGATTATCCGCCTTCGAGTATTACAAGCTTTCAAGCTTCCTCGAGTGTACACAGAGAAAAACAGCGAAGTAATGTTTCCCACGAGAAAAATATTTCGAATCTTGGGGACACGAATTGTCTTCCTACCCCCTGTCCCGCTTTTCATACGGCAAACAAATAATTGCGTTGTTACCGTGCCGTTTAATTCTACGCAATTACCGCGAGTAATATGCGTTCTGCCACGTGTAGGATAATGTTTCAGGAGTTGTCTTACGAGACAGTGAGACGCCGCAATTGCGTTTCATGCCTATATTAAGTCGCGAGCAAAGCACCGGGACAGCGGGAAACGAATCGGTCGGAATTTTGGTTTTGAAATTTTTGGTCGGAAATTGGAAAATTTTTTAATTTTTAAATTTAAAAACTTGAAAATTGGAAAATTCCAAGATTTGAAAATTGGAAAATTAGAAAAATAGAAAATTGGAAGATTCGAAGATTTGAAAATTGGAAAGTTAGAAAAATAGAAAATTGGAAAATTCCAAGATTTGAAAATTGGAAAATTCCAAGGTTTGAAAATTGGAAAATTCCAAGGTTTGAAAATTGGAAAAGTAGAAAATTCGAAAATTAGGATATTTGAAAATTAGGAAACGGGAAAATTGGAAAACCTAGCATATTTGAAAATTGGAAAATTCACAAATCTGCAAATTCCAAAACTAAAAAACTCGAACCTTGGAAAGCTGAAGCGTTGCGAAACGAAGGCGGACAATTCCAAGGTTGAAGAAACAAAGAAGACGTTAAGCGGGGTAATGAAAGGCGCGATTAAAGAGGTCTCTCATTAACCCCTTAATTCCAGCTATCGTGCCGCGATAGCGTCAAATAAACGTTCAACTGTTGTCAACTATCACCAACCAGAAACGTTCCTCGTCGACAGGGAAAGTTTTCATTTGAAATCCGACGCGTTGAATTCCGGGACTACGTAAACCGTAATAGCCAATTGAATTGAAATTCTCATTATTTGCACGGCGCCCTCCAGTTACATTTCGTATTTCCACCTTTAATACGTTTTCTATTACAGGGCGGCAGGTTTTCGGTGGAAGGGAGGCGGCCAACGCTAGTGAACGTAACCTGTCCGTCAATGTGTGCGAAAGTTTGCGCTTGCTTGCATTTGCATCGAGTCCGGGCGTTACCGCGAACGATGCGGAGTTGTTTGTCAGAATTTCCCGAGAGAATTTCGCCGCCGTGTCATGAGTTATCTTTCCGTTTCGCTATGAATCGTCTAGATCGCCGTTTCTCCCCACTCCCTCATCAACCAGGCTGTCCTCGTTTATTTTTTCTCGATCGTGCCTCTGGGCCGCCGAAAAACATTGCCACTTGTCTGCCGTAACGGCGAACACGTTCTATACCAATATTCTCTTCCTACTCTTTTTTTCCAAAATTTTGCTCCACGCATTTCCCAATTTTCCACGTAGCTTCGACCGAGCCGACGTAATTTCGAAAGCTGAACTCTTCCACGTGAGAGAGAGAGAGAGAGTTCTAATTATATCACCTGTGGAACTGTGCACCTTGACGTTTCGATCGTTTAAAAACGAGCGTGGACGACGTCGTTACACAGCACTCCCTTCTGGATGAAAGGACCTGCAAAGTCGGCGGCAACTTCGTTAAGTATCTCGCGCGAGCCTCCGCCCGTTGAATCTTCTTTAACGAACAGACTCCTCGCCGCGGCGAGTTTTGACGAGTTGTGTATGTAAATGAACGGAAACGTGATAATTAACGAACAGACGTGTACCTAAGACCGCGACGATCATTAAGTAACAACTTTTCTACCGCGAGAACAGAAATAGAAAAGTCCGCGAACGTTCGTAAACAGCCTGGTGGAATGAAAGTAGGGGAATCTTGGACAATTCGCCCATTGATCGATTAATCAGCGAATAAATAAGTCGGTTGATTACCACCGCAACGATAAAAGGTTTCACGAGGCGATTCATCGTCGAGAATAACGATCCCCGTGTTCAGAAGCCCGAGCGATAAAACGAATATATCCCGAAGCGGTCAATCTAAGCGCCGGTCAAAGGAGACACGGAAGGAACGAAGCGGTAGTCTTACCGAGAACCGCTTGCTGTGGCGCCCATTTCACAAATTTGATGTTGCCTGGGTGAATGGCCATGTCTCCGGTGTGTTTCCATAGAACTCTTTGCTTCACCGAGCTCAGCGCGTTGCACAATGCGGTCAAAGGACCAACTGGTAGTTGATGAGTTTGCAGATTCGATCCTAAGGAGAAGTAGATCGCCCCGTGTTCCGCCTTGTCTAGGAATTCTTCGATGTCCTGCGATTACAAATCGTTCTTTTCTTTCTTATTCTCCTGCAAGGGCTGGTTCGCTCAAGGTAGAAAAGTGGTTATAGGGATATTGTAAGGGCTTTCAATCTTGACGATATTTCGTCGCTGACTCCTCGTCCTTATCAACTACGCGGTTCAATTTCTTCTCCTCCTTGCAGTGCTCTTAACGCGTCCTTGTATGCGGGCCTTGACGCCCCTCTCTTGCCCCCGGGAAACCCAGGTTGGGGGTTTCTACTGTAGGAGGTGGTCTAATGAACTTTACTCAAATCAGGATGTCGTGCAAAGTGGTTTATTTCGACGTCCGTCTATTACCGAAACTAAGAACTCGGGCCGAACTCGCCAAGAGGCGCAGGCCAAGCCATAAACCGTCCCAAACAGCCTACACTACGGAGCAAGGTTCTTACCTGACCCAGCCCTTAAGGCGTGAAGGCGTTGGGACCTCTCGGGCTGCGGGTCATAAACCAGCGTGAGTCCTTACTCTTTCACGTGCCTGGGTAGAAACCTTACTGGTGCCAGGGTTTCCCGGAGGCAAGAGAAGGGCGTCAAGGCTCGTATATGAGGACGCGTTGAGTAAGACTAAGCGGAATATAGTAGAAAGATTATTATGTAAGAGTATGGCCGAGGGAGCATTGGGACTCGCGCTGGCTTATGACCCGCAGACCGAGAGGTCCCAACGCCTTGACACCCCCACGCGCTAAAGACTGGGTCAGGCAACCTTGCTCCGTAGAAACCTGTGCCAGGGTTTCCCGGAGGCAAGAGAGGGGCCTCAAGGCACGTATATGTGGGATCAATTCGCCAGGAAAAAAGGTATACACCGTCGCATAGCTAGCTCGAGCCTCGGCGCGCTACCTTCAACTGCCTTCTCTTCTACGCTTCACTCACGCCGCGCCGATACGCGCCACACGCATTCACGCGTGTCGGACCCGATCGCCGGCGGATCAGTCACCACAAGAGTATGGTCGAGGGAGCGTTGGGACTCGCGCTGGCTTATGACCCGCAGACTGGGAGGTCCCAACGCCTTGACACCCCCACGCGCTAAGGGCTGGGTCAGGCAACCTTGCTCCGTAGAAACCTGTGCCAGGGTTTCCCGGAGGCAAGAGAGGGGCGTCAAGGCTCGTATATAAGGACGCGTTAAATAAGAATGCGGAGATTGTATTGGACCGAATTAGGAAACGTGTAGTTGATAAGGACGGACCAGAAAAGAACGAGGCGCCAACGATAGACGGATTAATAAATGTATTGGGTTGGCAACTAAATGATTGCGGATTTGTCGATAGATGGTTTTAGCACATTCTTTTTTGTTGTCAACGTGTTCAAAGCACCTAACCTATATTGTTTTCCTGTTGTTTGGACTTCCACCTTTAATTAGTAAGAAAATTGTATCGATTAGTTATTTAGTTCCGTTCATTTTCAGACATATTTTATTGTATTATTTCCGAAAAGGCAGGAACGCATCGCAAGCATACTTCTGGCAAAAATCAGAAGTTTCATGAACATGGAATTATGACAAAAACGGACAATACCTAATTTAATAAAGTTATATTTTCAAGTAAAAATTTGGAACTTTCCTTCTTATTTAAAATCCGCAATCACTTAGTTGCCAACCCAATAGTTTTCAACATCAGTTTTAAATAATCCCGACGAATATTATTTAGACGAAACAGCCTTCACGCACGGGCCTCCGAGAAAGCCTTACCGACGAGTCCCAGGACGAAACGCCCTAACTTTTCCTTCTCCGCCTATCCTCGCTATCGTTCCTTCAGTGCCTTGCTATGTATATATTTCGACGCCTCTCTCTTGCCTCCGGGAAACCTCGGCAAGACTCCTTGCCTGACCCACACTTCTCGGTCTACGGGTTATGAAACAGCGCCAGTCCAAACGCTCGTTCCAACATACTCTTACAACGTCCACGTACCGAAATTTTCATTTCCGATAATTACCAGAACGAATTCGTTCGCCACATCGTCCAATGTTTCTCGCGTTCGCGTAATTACGCGGCAAAGAGGGTAGTAAAACAGGCGGTCCACGCAACCGCGGTAATTGTTCGCCGTTCAACAACGACAAAAACTTCTCACGTGGAGCAGAAAGCATTGTTGTATTAATTGCACCGGATTTAGACGGGCGCACGTGGATAACGATCACGTTTTGCATCTGAATGTTTCGCATCAAGTCCACGTGACGTTCGCACGCAATTGCGTGGTCGCAGATCCCTGCCTTCGGTCTCTCCAAACACGGTCGGATAATTTTTAATCGAGCGTCGATGGACCGCGACGCAACGTGTGCGTTTGGGGGAAACGTCGGTTTGACGGAAGAAACGATCTGGGTGTCAGGGATATTCCCTTGTCCAGGCGAGAAACGAAACGAGGGGGGAGGCTCTCTCGTAGAAACACCTTTGGAAAAATATTTTCCAGCCGTTCCGGCGTATAGGGGAGGTTGGGCGGGCTGGCGGAGGGATAAAAGGTACAACGAGCGACGGTAAATAGCAATGACCTTTACTTTCGCGTCGCAGCAACGCCGAGTCGTAGGTAAGCTTTCCCCTATACCGGTTACCTTGCCAGAGTGCTACGTATTTTCCCCCGGAGAAATCATTCTCCCTTGGCCGCGGTAGAGAGCTCCAACCCCTTGCGAAACTGCGCGAAATAACTCCGCGTTGCCCCGCCAGGAATAATAGCTGTAATCGTTGGCTGAATTTAAGGCACCTAATATCGCTTGTTGATCTACGAGCAGACTCTCTGATAAATCAACAGTCGTTACTTCTAGCCTGATTAGACGTACGCTTTGTGGATAGAAATTAGTAATGTTAGACCAGTTGGTTTGTCAACGTTTCTGCTCGTTTTAACGGGCTGGAATTTCTCTGGCGCGAGAGCAAATGCCAGATATTCCGTGGCTGTGGAGTTAGGTTCAAGCTGTAAGATGTGCTTAGTTTCAACAAAATGCGCGTACTTTCCCTCGGAAAAGGGGAAAGTGGCCTGCGAGGTGAGGTCAAAGTGTATTAATTACATTTAACAGCTAAAGTGTGTCGAAAAACTGAAGTATAGAGATGAAGAAGGTAAGTGAAAATAACTGTAAGGATAGTAAGCAATGATACCTTAGGCAACACTTCCTTTCTCTCCGTGATCTGTAGACTGTGCACCTCGATCACATTCGGCAGCAGCGGTTTCGGATACCCGAATACGTGATTGTTCCCCAATATCACCAGACTGAAGTTCCTGTCGATCTCGTCGACCGAGACGTCGGCCGTCCACTTGTTAACGATCATCTGCGCCCTCGGCAAATGCCAGTACCTGTAGTAGATCCTCGTCCACGCTGTGTACACGATATTCCATATACGTTCGTTCATACTCATTCGATTCGTGAACGGATAAGCCATGTCCGGATTGAACAGTGGATCATCTGGATTCCCTGAGTCGTACAAACCAAACATTTATCTCCTTTCTCTCTCGGTGGAACGGAACAATCGAGCAGGTGGCGTGCCTTTGTCCCCTTATTCCCCATCTGATACCGAGAAGATCGCCGCTACAGGTTAAAGCACTACCGCCCACCGATCTATCCTTCTCTAAAGGAAGGCTTGCTTTCCCCGATTGCTCGCACTTTCTACTTTACCAACAATTTACGTCAATTTCCGGCCCGGCTAACGACATTCCGCCCGGCCTGGGACACGAAGCCGGGCAGAAAAAGACGTCTCGGAAACGAGCTCGGCGAGACCGCTCGGTGCTCGGTTTTATCCCCGCCGCGCCGGCCAATTGTTTTCTTTTCGATCGGTGTATTTTCGTGTCACGCTTACCAACGGAGTCCATGACGTACGGCAGGTTCCCGACGCTCAGGAATCCGATTAGAACCGGCGAATTGTAATGCTTCACTAGGGCGTAATAGCACTGGTACCATAATTGTTCTATAATCACCGCGTCGAAGCTCTTGTTCCTCCTGAGAAGAGAGCGAGCGAGTGAGAGAGAGGGAGAAGAGGAAGAAGAACGTACGACTGCGCCGCGATCGCGAGATTAGCGTTTCGTACAGACCAAGTTGTAACGCGGACGCGAATTACTGTAATTTCTTTTTTTCACCCGGTTGTTTTCCGTTCTTTCTTTTGTTCTCTCGCGCCGCAGCTATGAACGAAAAGGCAAAGAACGCCGCTGACGCCCGGTAATTTCATACCCGGCTCACAGCAAGAAAATTGCGCCAGCACACTTTTCTTCGACTATTTTCTAGCTTTAACGAGTTTACGAAATGAACTTGTGTTTTCTACACCTTCCCTCTCCCTCCCGCCCGCTTCTTTTCACCGTACAGCCTTAAATAGAATGAATATTTGTATTACGAAATTAGGTGCGTGATGGCAGGGCTGAACAGTTGCTTCTCGCACAACTCGTTCGCCTCTCGCATGTTCTTCTGCAGCAGGGTGAACGCTCCCACGTGCCTGCGGAAGATCGATAATTTAGCAAATCTGACGCTTACGAGATTCTTCGTGTAATACCCAGCGCACCTTAAACCGGTGCAATCTCTTCTTTCGTAGGTGAACGACAAATCGACGTCCTCGTAATTCTTCGTAGGTTTCTAGAAAAAATTCTTCCTTAACCCTTTCGCCGCGACGAACTTCAGATCAAATTTCAACCGCCGTTGCAAAATTCGGTTTGTCGAATTAACCCTTTCGCGACGGCGTCAGTACGCCACTAACGGACGGGTCGTCGTGCCATTAGTGCACACCATACGCATTAAGAGTGTCTCGCGTTTTTTCAAATCTTAGAGGATTTCGTTGGAGCAGCAGAGGACTTAAGGGTGTATCGGATAAAGGGAATGTTGTCGAGGCCTTGTTCTGTATTTTAAAATAAATCCGGGGGGGAGCCAATGCGACGCAGTGGATGCCGGATATAACCGGCGCTAGTCGCGAAAGGGTTAAGGTGGACGTATATCGAAATGCTCCAACAGTATCGCCGGAGGAAAGGGTTCCGAGAGTTAATTAGAATTTTTCGTTCGAGCGGCGAAACGGTATAATGGTATAAATGATTGATTTCCTTGTTTCACCGTTGCACGCGCTGCTAAATTCTTGATTTCTCGAAGGAGCGGAGGAAGGAGGAGGAATGGAAAGGAAGCGGAAGAAGAAGAAGAAGAAAAGAAGGGAAAGAACGACGAGCATCGGGTCACAAAGAGACGCGTTTAACAAGAAGAAACGTTAGTAAGGGTAAATTGAAGCCGAACCAAGTTTGCGTAACTTTGAACCGGAGTTTATGGAGAGGGTAAAGGAAGAGGGACACGAAAGGGATCGGTGGGAAAAGTGAGCGGTAGTAGAGCAGGGGATGGAAGAAAGAGAAAGAGAAGTAAAAATGGACTTGGTGTAGGAGTGAACGAAAGAAGGCGGTAGTAACGCGTGGTCCAAGTGGAGCACAGAGTCAAACACCTATCTGAAATATCTTTTCGAACTTTCGTCCCTTCCTCTCCCCTACCGTCGCCGCTCTGCTCGCCGCCGCCGCGATATTATTGAATTATTAAACCATCGTTATAACCTGGTTAGAAGTGTTTTTCGCGCCTTTTTTACAAACTTTCTCAACGCTGATAAATGACGGAAGTTCTAACGTAATTGTATTGCGTATAAATTGCCATACTTTACGGGTAATGGTTAAAACAGTTTGTAACTCGATAAAATTCCCTCGTTCTCTGCCCGAGAAGAGAAACGGAGGACTAAGAGGAGGAAGAGGCGAGAGACAAGAGGAAAGAAGATGAGAAGACGATCGATTAAGTGGCACTGTTCGACGTCGTTCGAGTACCGAAAAAAAGAAAGGAGAAGGAAGAAAAATCGTGGAGCAGCGAGAGAGAGAGAGAGAGAGAGAAAATCACACTTACCTTTGACGGAATGGTTGATATCACGGTGACGTTGTGTCCACGAGCCGCCAAAGCTTTCATCAATGCTTGAAAGGGTTGCTGGTGGCTGTAGCTCGCGCTGGGACAAATTCCGAGAATGTTGAATCCGATGGCGGGCGAGAATTGACGAAAGAGTAAAAGCACCAGCACCAGAGGAGACACCAGCATCTTGTTGGTTCGCGAAGAGAAGCACGGAGTAGTATTTCGAGGCGAGAGACACTTGAGCCACGCGAGAAATAGTCTTTCAATTTTTTAAACGAGAATCGAGGTTGCCGGTGTTACCGCGCCCCCTTTTGTAGGAATTTCCGAGGGGTGAATTCACCTGCGAGGAGCTGAGGAACGGGCTGGCAAGGAGGCGGAGGCGAGTAGAACGATCTACGCGTGAAAAATTCACAACATGTTTCACGATCAGTTTGCTCGGGGCCACGATAAATATGTGAAGCCGCTTGTACCATCGGTCGCGTGTTCCTCGCACGGCTTACCGGGAGAAATAATGCAAGCCTCGTCCAGCTAGCGACAGATATTTTTATACCGCAGCCGCGAAACATAAAGGCGTCATTCAGGTCTCGAGCACTGTTTCACGGAATCTATTCCCTTATCTCCGCCGTGGATGCTCGAATACGATTCGACGAAGCTCGTCGTATATCGCAAGACGAGCCGAACCAATCTCCCGACTTTTTTAATCGAATCACGCTACTTCCAATTTCGAGCGATGATCAATTGTTTCGGGACAAAGGATCGCTTGTCTTCCGGCAGTACGTTGCCCTCTTAGACAAAATTTCAAATTTCATTCGACAGAAGGGAATTCTAACGGAAATTCAGAGGATCTCGAAATCGTGAAATTGAAGACCACGTTTTTATACGCGTCCCCACGTGAATAAAATACGTATCTTGGAGATTACCCGTGTTTCAAAATGGACGATACAATCGGGGTGCGAGGAAAAGAGAAACACAGTTACACGGAGGGAAGATGGTCCGAAATTTGCGTGTAAACGATGAGTCGGTCGGGAAGGGTAATAATAAGAAGAGGAAAAAAGGGTAGAGAAGAATGTTGGCTGGAGACGAATCACCGAGAGTCGCGCCATTAGCTTCGATGTACGCTTCTGCCATGGCGTGAAGAGGAGAATGGCTCCGGGTTCAGTGTACGGAATGATGCGGTCGCCGGCTACGGAGAAAAATTGGTCCACCGTTTCTAAAGAAAAGTTCCAGCCGAGGAAAAATGTCGTTCGTTCCCGCGAAAACTATGCCCCTTTTTCTTGCACACACTGATTTCGCCCGCGCCCAACGATACCGCCGACGTAGAAATATACGCGTGCACGTAATTATCATAATATAATAACCCATTCCGTGTATCGTTGAATCGTTTCGTTTCGCGTTACCAACACGCGTCTCTTGTTTCGCCAAGTTTCGAATAAAATATATTCAAAAAAAAAAAAAGAAGAGAAATTCGTTCGGTGGACCGCGAGAGTATTATGCAATCGTTAATTAAAAAACTTTACAACGTTACGTCATTAAGCGTTACAGAGATAAACGTTTCACGGGTGAAACAAAAGATTTTTGCATAGCTGACGTAACTGCGGGCTTAAACGCGCCGCATTACTTAGAGTCGTAATAATACCGGGATACGAGAAAAGCCTCGTTAATTCGAGATATTGTGTGCGCCGTTGCACCGTAAAGGGTGCATCGTTTGCGTTGCCTGAAAAAGTCACGAGAATTTGTCCCTTTAATCGGGCCCACCCTTCTCTCTCGAGAAAATAATCGTCTTTATCGTTAATCTCGTTTCACTTGCAACCAACAATCGGTGCAAGATGCCTCGGTCCCGGTTTCACAACACACGTCTCCAACGAATTAGTCCTGTATATTCGTGAATACCTTTCGTACAATTACAGTAAATTCTCTACAAGAGTCAGTAAGTTTGGATTCTACAAGTGACAGTATAGATGGTCCTACGCCTAGGTCTGCGTCATTGCTGCGCCCATGTTATTTCGCTCGCAGTCAGTCAAGCGTGTAACGCTACACCTTTAATTTTACTTTTTTTCATCTGGAATTTTATTTAACATCATGTTGGTGAGATTTTTCTGATGAAAATGATATCAAACACGATATAATTTGAACAACATTTACTTATTAACACGTTCACTGTCGCGCCAGATTTACAGGTTGCTGTCAGGCGGCCACAAGAAAATACATTTTAAGCATAGGATTATAGTATTATGCTTTATAATTTTTTTTTTTCAATTGAAAATAATGTCTAGCTTGCTATGATGTTCAAAATTTTTAGTTGACAACATTTATTTTATTTTAATTATTCTAAACATTTGAGGCACTCCAGTCACTGATGACCACCATGGCCATATCGAGGAAACAATCTAACGTTAAATCTTGTTGAGTGATTAATTTAATTTCGTAATATATCGCTTTAGCGAGCCACCGTTTGGTTGCCAATTGTTTATCACATAGAGTCGGCCTACCTCCACGTAAAAAAAAAAAAAAGGAAGGGTCGATTCCACAACTGTCAGTAAAATGTAGGGTCGATTCGACAAGTGTCAGTAAAATGTAAGTTCGATAGCAGCAGAAAAGCTGCTAAACAATTAGAATTAAATGTAGCGATAGAAATTATTGCAATAATGCGTAATGCAATTGCAAAATTGAAAGAATCAAAAGAAAAAACGCGAATTCATATCTTTCTCGATTCTAGAATATAAGAAAATTTGAATAAAATACGCGACGAGAATTGGGGAGAAGCATAAGTTAAACGCGTCAAAATATTCAATAATAAACGAACTAGGGATGAAGCTGTTATTTCAATACGCGATGCACTGACTCTAGTATTTACTAAAATTCAAAAATTCTCGCATAAATTCCGAAAATAGATTATTAATTACGGTAAACTACTGAGACGGTTTAATTTAGGGTGGGCATAGTGGACGAGTGTAGTGCACTGGTTCCAAATCAGCTCATAATATACAATAATAAATCAACTAACTATTTAACATGCAATTCATCCAAATTTCTTGGATGGCCAGTCATAAAATAAATTCAATATCAGAGAAAATATATATAAAATACTGAAAGAAAAATTTCAAATTAATTTCAATTGCTGGAAGAAAAGTAACGAAAAAGCAACCTCTCAAAGTCATTTCAATATCCTATTCGACAAGTCTGAAGAACAACGATGACTAAAATTCAAATGTTTATTTCCCTAAACCTTCAAAATAATTTCGAAATATTTTATTCGAAGCGGAGTATTCCAAGTCAGTATCGATAATTGAAGAAATTATTTGATTGTATTTAAAAGAACCGAAAGGAGAATATTTAAAGTCTGATATTAAATGTCTAGCAAGTACCAGTAATTGGTAAAATGATTTATATTTGTTTTAAAAGGAAAATTTCTAATAGGTATTAGTTAAAATGAATTATTATTCAGTCTATTGTATTGAAATTCTAATTGATTCTAATGTATACAAGTGTTACAAGAAGGCTGAGTGTGTACAGGGTGGACACTGACTCTAGTATTTACTAAAATTCAAAAATTCTCGTATAAATTCCGAAAATAGATTATTAATTACGGTAAACTACTGAGACGGTTTAATTAAGGGTGGGCATGGTGCTGCTTTAGTTTGAAATGATTTATAAACACATAATTAACAGAGGAAAAACCGTGAAACGGCAAAACGTCTACATTCTAATTGTTATAACATGTAAACAGAACTTTAAATTTAGTGTAAACAGAAAAAATATATAATACAATTTATTTCACGGTATTGCAACAAATAAACGTTGAATCAATATTTAATTCGTATAAAAACAATTATTTAACGTAATAATTTTACCTTCACTATGGCTATTTTTAATCTACGACCACAGGTCAACCTGATTTCTAATCCTTACGAACTTTAAATTCAGTCTAAACTGAGAAAATATATAATACAATTTATTTCACGGTATTGCAACAAACAAACGTTGAATAGATTCTTAATTCGTATAGAAACATTTATTTAAAATAATAATTTCACCTTCACTATGGCTATTTTAAATTTACGACCAAGGGTCAACCTGATTTTTAATCCTCCGAACTTGATTTCACAACGAGAAAGTAATAAGATCGTTGAAACGTACTTATTTGTCAAAGAAACTTGCAAAAATGTATAAATAATAATATGTAATGTTTTAACAAATTTTTGGAAGTATAAATTAATAATAAAATTGTGAAAATTAATAAATTATACGTTATTATAACATTAATAGAATTATGACTAAACCGAAGTTCGAAGTCGAGTATTTAAAGTCTGATATTACGTGCCTAGCGAGTGCCGGTAATTGTTAAAATTTGTTTAATAATTAGTAATAGAAATTCTAATTGATTCTAATGTATACAAGTGTTACAAGAAGGCTGAGTGTGTACAGGGTGGACATAGACTAGCTAGTAGCCCCCGACCACTCTATTCACATCTCAGAACCTTCAGGTCAAAATACGCCGCGAAGTGTCTAGGGCCCAGTATAAAGGGTAAATGATTTCGCGGGACATCGGCGGGTCCTTATATACCTGCGGTACCCTCTCCCCAAAGTCATTAGCAAAATCGTCGGTTAGGTCAGGCGGGAAATTTTCGCGGGAGATTTTCGCGGGAGATTTCCGATATCGTAACACGGTATAATTTATCAATTTTCACAATTTTATTAAAAATTTATACTTCCGACAATTTGTTATAACATTGCATATAACAATTTATACGTTTTTACAATATTCTTCAATGGAAACATAGGTTTTAGCGTTCTCGTTACTTACTCGTGGTTAAATTAATTTCGTAGGGATTAAAAATCAGGTTGACCTGTGGTCGTAGATTAAAAATAACCATAGTACAGCTAAATTTATCGTGTTAAATAATTCTTCTTACACGAATGAAAAATGTATTCAACGTTTGCTTGTTACAATACCATGAAATAAAT